CCTCGAAGGGGCGTGGACTGTTTGCCTATCCGTCTGCCTCCCTCCTCCCCGCTAGCACTGCCTCCACTCCAGCACGCCGGCACGCCGGCCGGCCGGCGGACTATGAAAGCAGCCATTGCACAAGGAAAGCAATGACCAGTTTTCGTCATTGAAAAACACGGCTAGCGATCTTTGGGGACGTCATTTCAGTTGTTGAATGATTAAACGGGCTTAATGTGTAACACGAAGCGGGTTACGTATCCTGCTTCCCTTTTCCAATATTTTACCTTTTTCATTTACAGAATCAAACTACTTTGTTTCATCTTTTCACAGCTCATATACGGTAGGTTACTGAAACAAGTATGTAATTATGTGAATACTTTTTTTGTCTAACACAAATTGTTGAAATATCACTGCAGAATTTGTTCCGTTCTGATCACAGTACTAAAATTTTTGCTTAAGGGACCTTTATTTTGACCCATAACAGTGTTTATTTGCTCGGTGCATTGATTCAGTGGATTTATTACTTGTTGTTTGTTCGAGTAATCCAATGTTGTGACGTGTTATTTGCAATGTTTCGTTTATACTTTTGCGTATTGATCGCAATAGAGATGACGTTCTGAGGCGGTGACGGAAATTAGTTGGTTACTTGTAACACTAACCCCATTCCATGCCTAATTGGTCGCCCACGAAGCAACAAGTTACCTACGCTCATGGGCCACCGATTAGGTTTCAAACTGGCTTCTACTGGTATACATCAGTGAAGCCGTTCAAAACAGTAAAGCCTTCATCGTCTCACAGTTCTTCTAAAGAGATATCGATTTCTACTGATGTGATCTACTTAGGTACAAGAAGTACGGTGATATAATGTAGTGTATACAGTACTCGGTGACCCAACTTTCATGCTCAACCTTCGATCGATGTCGACTCTTGAGCAAATTCATGATTATAGATGATATATGTTTATGTTGTTTGAGAAAGTAAAAGTTTAAGACGACAAGATTTGTTACATTTTTGAACTACACATTTATTACATTATGACTCACTACATGTGTACCGTTGTTCAATCCACATTGAATTATGGGCTAAGCTTCAGAGCGGGGAACGTCCGTTACGCGCGTCCGTCGAAGCTAGGTCACCCCGCCCACTTCGCGCGTGGCGCAGAGAGGACATTACAGTTCTACTAAGTGACAGGTAAAGGTCATCGTCACTTCAAATTGACTGCCGTGGTTCGAGCGCAATTCGTACGTCCCGCTGAGAACCGCGACGTTTGTCAAAGATCGCGGGTTGACACGCCGCGCGCGACAGCTGCGGCGCGGCCTAGTTTTGACGTTTCGATGAGCCCGTGGGGAAGGTAGCGCACCCCTCCAGAGCACGGGCTATGCGCAGCCCTCTCTGGACAGGGATGGAGTGAGCATGAGGGTTCAGTAAGCAAGAAGGCACTGTAGTTGCCCATTCAGTCAACCGCTGAGGGAGGCTTTAGTTGCGCCCTTTTTAATGAACCCGATGAAGTATGCACCTTCTCCACCCCTCCATCAGAAAGTGCAGCATACGATTCCAGATGTCGCGATGGGACATGGGCGGAGTGTTCATAGGTGAACACCCCAATCACTGAAAGGGCTACGCGTTCCATTAGAGCGCCCCTCAGGGGTTGACTGCTTGGAGACTGCTCCGAGGGCTGCCATGGTGCTTGTCCCTTTTAATGAGCACCATATCAAATCCCTGTG